TAATAACTATAATATATATAATTATTTAAACTGACTAGTTAATAATCACTTAAGTCAATATAGTATCTTTTTTTTTGTCAGCCTCACTATTCTGCACACTCAGACTCTCTTTGTTCCTAGAATTCATCCATGGGCCAAATTAAGATTGCTCCCGTAACCAGCAAGTAATTGTTTAAGAAGTAAGTGTTTTTGTTTTCTCCATCTTACTTATTCCACTTCATGGCATGTCTAATCTTCTCAGCCCTGATTAAGCTCCTGCTTGCAATTAAAAAAGCAAGTTGTCCTCCAGGAAATAGGAAAATTGTGTCACTGCTCTAGTCAGAAAACCCTCACGTGCTGAGTGCTCGTCTGTAGAACTGATCTCCAGCTCAGCCTACAGCAGGCTCCTTAGGGAGATTTGGCTCGGAAAATGAGAGATACCTTAGAAGTATTAGGCAGCAGCAGTAAGATCATAGCAGGGCTGTCAGCTCACGAGGTCAGTAGGCTGGACAGTGGCCTGGCTGGGGAATGGATGCATTCTCCAGTTGGCCCATCTGGAGGAAGGCAGCACCTCCTGGAGCTTTCCTTGGCCTGGTGTTTGTATGCCCAGTCTGCCAGGGAGCTGCAAAGGCCCTGATCTCCTCCCGTTTCTGGCAAGGGCTGCAGTGCAATAGCCTGGGGATGGAGGCTCCTTCCAGAAGCTGGCAACATTTCATTCAGACATACAGGACTTCTACATGGTCCCTGCTGCATGTCACCTGAAAGACTACATTCACTTTCCAGCAGTGTTTTGTGCAAAAAATGGACAATAACAGTACTTTCCTCATGCTCTTTGTCTCCAAGCCATACTAGTATATCAAACACAAGAAGAAGGAGGTACAGCTGCCAGAACAGACACTTCCAGCAAAGTACTTAATTCCTTGCAGGACCAAGTTCTCCAAAGTAATATTCTGTTTATTTTTAGTTGGTTTTCTTGATTACTATTTTTCCATCCAGGTTTGTTTTTTTTTTTCATTCCAGCAGCAGTAAAGATATTGTTATATCTGATTTCACTGCTTTAATTAAATACTGCTCAGTCCATGGTCAGTTCTATTTTGGGCTGGTTTAAAGTTTATTTAATTTGAGACATATACCAACCAGCGTAGCATAGCCTGCTTGATCCTAATATTAAAATGTTGTTTTATTTCCTGAAGGTAAAAAAAAAAGCAAAAAAAAAACCCACGTAAGAAGTTCAATGTAAATTTGTTGAAAAATTATTTTTATCTGCACTTTAAAAATACAAGTAAAAAATGGCCAAAGAACAAGGATCTATATGCAGTGTGACTAACACCCTGACTTTTTTTTAAATTAAGGAAAACAGGAATAATGAACACATACTATGACTGAACCTGGGGGAAAAAAAGCCCTGGCAGAGGCAGAAAAATGTCTTCTCATCCATTCACTGCACAATGAGGGAATTAAGGATTCTGCATAATTCTTGTGGAGTGTCTGGTTAACCCTGAGTGGAAAGGACTCTGGTGATGAAATCTCTATGCCATTCCTAGGCAGACTGCACACTTGCTTAACTTCATTTAGAAAACTTTTTCTCATATAGAATCGAAATCTGTTGCAATTTAAACCCATTTTTTTTTATTTCTTCCTGTCATCATTCCTTGTTTAAAGTTTGGCAAATGTTTGTCCTTTTAACATACCTGGAATTTCAAACCCTTCTATGAGTTGCAAAAGTGCTCTTATTGCTTTAGTAATTTCTTTGAATATTCTAGAATGCAGTTGAGTTACCTTAAATGATTATAAAAGATCTGACAGATTTAGGGATTCTAACCTACTAATTTACTTTCCCCTTTCTTACAAGTGTTAAGACAAAGTTTAGAGTTGACCTTTTCAGAAGACTGATACAGAAAAAGCCATTACACATTTCAGCCTTCTTGGAATAATTTGTTGAGAGCTCTTCCTCTTTTCTGTACCAATGTTTATTTTAGTCTTTCTCATCACTATTGTGCTGATGAAACAGCATGATGCCCCTTGCTGATAGCACAATTTTGAATATGTTCATGTATTTCAATTTTATTCCTTTTATTTGTCTTCACTGATCTAATTAATTTTCTATCCATTTTCTGTATGCTTTCTTCTTGTGACAGAAATTAACCTAAAATTTATGCATTTGTCTTTTACTATAGTTCCTGTCCTCCTTCTATATTTCACATTTGGATCCCTTGAGCCAGCATAATTCATATCTTTTATCCAGAAAACTGAAAGTCCCCCTTAAATAATTTTTCTTTAGTTTTGGTTTCTCTGAGATTCCAAACTGCAGATCTATATTTAAAGCTTTGCTCTCAAAATCCCCTGGTTTTCTGTACTTCTTCCTTTCCCCCTGAAGAAAAATGAACTCTGCCACTGCATGGTCATAGAAGTTGCCTTCTACACTTACTGGGTTAAAGTCAAACCCAGAAAGGTTTTTTACTTAAGCTGCTTGCATATTTCAAAAAGTTACTAGGGAATTTGTGCTCAGGTCCTGGCGTACTCAGCTGGAAACAGAGAAACCCCCATATTATTATAAAGTAATGCCCTGGAAAATGACAACTCCTCACAAAAACCCAAATCTTGATCTTCTTAAAAGAGCGTAACTGATAACATGATTTCCTTTACAGAGTTAAGTGCTTTTAACTACTTACTGATCTCATTTAAATGAGAGAGGGAGAGAACCTGTGGCAGAGAAGTTACAGTCAGTACTGCCAACAGTGGCATGCTGATCTGGTTCTGCTGCTGCCTGGGTGTCCATCTGTAGATTGATAGGGTGGGATTTATTTCACCAAAATTTCAACACTAATAGTAGAAGTATGAACCTTTGCACTTGACACATCAGCTATTTTATTCTAGTCAGGGAACAGGCACATTAAGACATATAAATTAATGTAATTTATTTTAGATGTCTTCTGTAAAACTGTAGTAACAGTTTTACTGCAGTAACAGAAGTAAGAAAATTTACATGTGAGACCGGACCTGGCCTTTCCCCCAACCTTGTGGATTATAACCATATGGCTTAACTTTTATTTTAACCAGTGTTAAAGAGAGAACATGCTAGGCTATCACACATGTACATTTTTTAAATCTTGCTTATTGCAATATTTCCAGGTTGCTTTAATTTTGTACTTCCTTTCTACAACATGATTTGCTTTAAGTTTTCTACACTGTTCTGCATATAGCAGAGACTAGTGACAATCCTATCATTATAACTAATGTTCTCCTTTTCACGTTTTCTCTACATCTTGGCTTTATACAGATCTGCCATACATTATAGAAAGCTTTTGGCAAAGTTAGAGTAAACCATCAAACTCGTCTTTCAAAGGTGGGCAATGTTCTGGTTTATTAACAGATGCAATCCAAGGATGGTTATAATTACAACTTCAGTGAGTTGACAACTACATGGTAGTCTCTGTAAGGCAAGTCAATGGCCTCGGTTTACCCGCATCTTCCCTAAAAAGCCTTTTGCTCTAGAGATGCCTTTTTGCTCTGCTTATGGCTCAATGGCTAAAGCAGGCCATTTTGAATTATTACAGCTGTTTGCGGCTTGTGTGCAGTTTTGGGCACTACAATATTAAAAAAACATTAAGCTGTTAGGGAGCATCCAAAGGAGGACCATGAATATCATGAAGGGCCTTGAGGGGAACTCTGTGAGGAGCAACTGAGGTCACTTGGTCTATTCAGTCTGAAGGGGACTGAGGGGAGGAAGGAGACTGAGGGGAGGCCCCACTGCAGTCTACAACTGCCTTGTGAAGGGGAAGGGAAGGGGAGGGTAAGGCACTCATCTCTTCACTCTCATGACCAATGACTGGACTGAGAGCTTGGCCTGAAGTTGTGTCAGGGGAGATTTAGGTTGGATATTAGAAAAAGGCCCTTCACCCAGAGAGTGGTTGGGCATTGGAACAGGTTCCCCAGGGGAGTGGTCACAGCACCAAGTCTGACAGAGTTCAATAAATGTGTGACACTGCTCCCAGGCACATGGTGATTCTTGGGGCTGTCCTGTGCAGTGTCAGGAGCTGGATTTGATGATCCTTGTGGATCCCTTTCAACACAGAATGTTCTACAATTCTATGGTTCTAAATACTTCAGGCCTGGTACTGTTAGGTAAGGGCAGATCGTTTGGTCTCAGTGACACCAGGAGTAAACTTGGTCATGGCCTCAGGTGGAGCATTTACTGCAGCTGCCACTCTTTGCTCAGTCTATACACAGGATAGACAGGGAGACCTCAAGGCTACAAGCAGTAGTCCAGCTCTCTGGGTTTAACGACTTTGGTGGTTTGCTGGGCATTATCACACACACTTTTCTTTTGCACAGCTGTAACTCCACTTAGCAGGAACTGTACTGACAGGTGAAAATTAGGAAACAGGCACTTTCTGACACTTTTCAGAACTCCTTCCTTCACTCCATGGCTGTAGCATGGACACTGTGGTTGTTTCGCCCCATACAGACTTTCACATTAACAAACAACACTTGCATGAGCAATCCTTTCTATGAGACTGCTTAAAGAAGATGCTATGACTCCTTCTATCCCTTCAGTACAGTGCACCATGTGGTTGCTCATTACTGTCTATTGTAAAAATCCCAGCCTTCACTCCAGGCAATTTTATCTTTTGGGCCTCAGGTAATATATCAGTTGACAAATTTCTTTTCTGATCTTGTATCAAGACTTCACACCTCCAGCCTAATTTGCTGCAAATTTTTGCAGAGAGGATGGATGCAAATTTTAACAATTTCTCCAGAAAATGTGATCTCATTTTGTGAAGATGATATAATTTCCTCCTTTGCCTCACTGCTCACACAGTTCACACAGAGAAGACAAGAAGCAACAGGTTCAAATCGAAATACTGGAAATTCCATTTGAATAGGAGGAAAAAACCCTCTTTAATGTGAGGTTGGTCAAACTCTGGCACAAGGTGTCCTGAAAGATTGTGGAAGTCTCCACCAAGAGAGATACCCAAACTCCAACAGGATGCAGCCCTGAGCAGCTGACTGTCACTGACCCTGCTTGGAGTATGGGGGTTGGACCAGACAATCTCCAGAGATCCCCTCCAACTTCCAGCGGCCTGTGAAAAGGGCAGGAATACCATAAGTCAGTTTGAGAAGTTGCTTCATGTTAAGTATTTTTAACAAGATACATTTTATTCCAGCTCCCTACTTCTTGGAGGCACTACTGTGCCAAGGTACCACAGAAGTCCTTGAATATCAAAGCACCTAATGATGACTGTGAGCCTACAGTCTGATGCTGCTGAATACCCAGAGCCTACCTAATGCTGTATGTCTCTGTATAAAATACATAAACATTCACTGAAGTGCAAATTGGTACTTAGATCTTGTTTTATTTTTTGGTCTGCAGGTGTTTTATTTGGCTATGCAAAGTGGAACAGTTTCAACAGAAAACACTGGGAGTCCCACCTTAAAATTATTCCCCAGACTAGTGGGCAGGGCACTTGGATGAGACACAGGAATTGCTTCAAGTCCTGACTGAGAAAGAAGTTGATTTCTGACCACTTGATTTCTAGGCAAAAAGGACACTTCATTATGTGACAAAGGGTAGATTGAAAGCAAAGTGAGCTTTTGGAGGAGCTCACTGGACATGTGTGGATTAGTTAGGCACCTGCCTTAATGGGATGGAGAGGCTTTGATACCATCTAATTCATTGGGGTCACCTCCTGGACAGTCTAGGTAGACTCCTAGTTGGGCAGGTATTTGTGGTTATGTTCCTTCATTCCTAACATTTCCCTTACTGCAAAGGAAACCCTAGGACTGGGTCACACTGGATATCACTGCTCAAAAGATGCATCAAGATTAGGGGTTACAGGCTGAGCACTGACAGGAATAAATACTTTTATGGAACAAACCCTTTAATTACTAATCTGAGAAATCAATTATTTTGTACTAGTTCAGCTCTGTTTAGCTTTGTATTTTCTTAACAAATGAAAATAGGCTGGCTATACTTAATTTTGACCTCTTGACAGGATGCACTGATACTATGTTCCAAAATCCATGTGTCAAACATTTAATGCAAATCTTAATTGAAAAGACAGGATTATTTCCTGAGTTACTGCAAGACTCTACTTTCCTCTGAAATATATTATGGTATTTCTAGCTAAAGTAGAAACGCAGTTGATGCGACAAGTAATGTTTGACTGATGCTTTAGCAGTAAATCAAAATGGCTAGGTTCACCTTATTTATTGCAGAAGAAATAAATTTATTCTCGTGGAGTAGCAAAATAATTCCTATTATGCAAAAGGTAAATAAAGCCCCATAAAGTTTACAAAAAAAAATGTTTTTACAGCAACTTACCTGCTAAATATAAAGCTTCTATACCAGCACATAGTACTGAGTGTAGAAGCTGAGCTGATATTAAGAACATGTCATAAGCACCTATTCCTAAAAAACTGTTTTTAACTGAAGACATCAAATTTTGTTTAGCTGTAGGAATGTACAGAGCCAACAGAAGTATAGACTGAAAAACACATGAAATAAGCCTTCATACTTTCCTCAGATCTAGCAAGGTTGCAGCTAGAATAATACATTAATATTGGAGCACTGTACTGGGGCATGAAAGAAGACATGGACCATTTGGAAAGGGCTGAGAGGAGAGACAAAATATTGATTTCAGAGGTGTAAAACAAAATCTATTGTTAGGATGCCAATACGGTTGATACAAATGAGAGTGTGGTTGCCTGCAGGAGAACACTCCTGAGTGGCACATCTGAGGAGACCTGGTCGAAGCACAAGCCTGAGAATGCCCAGAGAGCCCAGCCTGCAGCACAAGCTAAGTTAAAGCATTAAAATGCACAATCGGTCCCACAAAGCAGAAGTTCTACTGAGAAGATTAAAAAAGAGACATGCTATCGATATGATGAAGGAGTGCAATGCCACTGACTAGATTAAGGAAGAATTACACAATTCATAAAACCCACTGAGAAAGTGTCATCACTGATAAGACTGAGAAAAGCAATGTCAGGTCAAAAGAAGGGACAGGATGTAAACTGCCAAAGTCTCCAGACAATACACAGTCTGAAGAAAAATGGAGTCTTGAGGACATTTCTGCAGAAACATTAAAGGAGTTGTAAAATGTGGGCAATGGAAATCAGCAAGTCATAGAAATTACTAAAAAGTATGAGTGGATAAGTGGATAGTTGTGTTTGTGATCATCTGCAGTTAACAGGATCACAGATCTTCTCTGCCTAACAATCTTATTTATATAAGACATACATTATGTAGAAATACTGGCATCAGTTGACACCTGTGAAAAGTAACTGTATCACTACAAAATGTGTTACAACACTGTAATTTTCTGAACTGAGAGAAGGCTGAAGGGACACACTGACAATGGTCTTTGTGCAACTAAGAGGCCATTCTCTGAGTACAAAGGATGGCAAGACAAAAATAACGCAAGTCACTGAACTGCAGTAAGGCAGACATCAGGAAACCCTCAGGGTAATAATGCACATGTTGAAGCTGTGGAATCTCCAACACTGAAGGTTTGAAATGGCATCTTGGACAAACATCACGAAAAAAAGTCCCATATAACTAACCTAGGAATAGAGGCAAAGCAGGTGGAACTTTTGAGATCTGGTCCAATCTGATCTGATCTTTTTACTACGATTTTATGATGGTAGCAAATGTTCACATAAACTCTGCTTATTTATTTTAATCATACAAGAAGCACACTTCAAGGGACATGTTAAAATGGCAAACAAACTACAGCAATCCACATAAATGGGTTTAGCAATGTTATAAATTACTTTCAATTGCCAGTTCAGCAGAACACTGAAGCACAGTTCTTGGGTCTTAAAGTCTAAGGACACAAGCCACTCAAAGTTTGAAGCCCTGAGGAACTACAAAACCAGCCCAATGACACCTTTAACAATAGAATAACTCCAGACTTAAAAAAACCTCATTAGAGAGAAGTGTGCTGCAGGACAGGGCAAACTCTTACACATCCCACATAACGCAAGGCATCTCTAATTTCCTCTTCAGAAAAAAAACACAAAAACCTGTAAGTGGAGATTTCCTGAAGAATTAAATAACCATACCTCAATGTACATTTCATTCGTGGAGAGAGACTGATGGGAACTGGCTATACCATTACTAAGATTTAGTGATCCCATTTGCACAGTGATAACTGCATACAGACTGCCTGTCTTTAACTAAAGAAAGCTCCCTTCCTCTGAGGCTTTTAGCTGTCTGCAGATGCCTAAATGAAGCCTTTCTGTTGACACCCATGGGCTCCCTGGGGTGTTTATGTCAGTTTCCGGCGCTATCCCTTTTCATCTTAATGTACACCTGTCAGACTGCTCGAAATTTCTATTCGGTATCACCTTCCCCTGAAGGCTCCTTCAGCCTGAATAAACTTGGGTTTATTCACAAGTGCAATAAACTGTGCCCATCGACTTGATGGTTTTGCCTTGAAAAGCCTGAAGGAGCAAAACACCAAGTGGTTTGAAACCCAGTCTTTCCAAGTTGTACACTTTGCAGCTGAACACAACAAAATCTGTTTGAGGGTTCTCGTTAAGACCAGACGATCCTCAGAAAGGGCCCTGATCATACAGGTTATGAAACCCCCAGATCTACGATTTTCTATAACATTTCCCAGAATTTAAAGACATACAGGATTGTTTAAAGCTTTCGGCTTCGGATGCGACTGGTCTCTCACAAAGTCTACCACCGTATCCCGAGCACAAGTTGAAGCGCGCAGGCGAATGACAGCCGCGAAGAGCATCCGTGTGCCGCTGCCCTGCCTGCCCGCAGCTCGGCCCCTAGGGCCGGCCGGGCTGCCGGAGCTCCCGCGGCGCTCCCTGAGCTGAGCGCTCCCCGCCAGAGGCGCGCCCGTGGCAGCCGCTCTTTGACAGCAAGAAGGCAAAAATAAAGAGCAGCGAAGAGACAGGACCATGCCCGGGCACCGACACGAGCCCGCTGTGAGCCCGCGAGCAGGCGAAGAGGAGACGAAAAGCGCATCCCCGGCCCCCAGCCCTGGCCCCAGTGCCCGCCCGGTGCCCGCGCGTCCCGCCGCTCACCGATAGTGGAAACGACGGTGCCCACGAAGTAGAAAGCTCCGGTGAAATCCCACCGGGGCCGGATGTCATCGACGCGGATGCCGGCCACGCTCGCCTCCTCGTATTCGCGGAGGAAGTGCCGGAGCTCGGCACGGCTGAGATTGTGGCGCCGGGTGAAGTTCTCCAGGCGTTCCTCCCAGCGCTCCTTAGCCTCCCGCTCCGTGGGCAACTCGATGGCCGAGAAGACAGCGGCGCCGCACAGCATGTACAGCACGATCAGCACCGCCAGCAGGAGGAACCGCGCGTTGTCCGCGTTGAGGCGACCCGCGCTGGAGCAGCAGCAGGCGCCGCGACACGCCATCCTCCGCCCGCGGGACCGGGCTGCCGCGCCGCCACGCTACGTCGGGGCCCTGCCGCCGCCGCCGGGCATCACGGCGCCGCCCGCCAGCCGTACGCGGGGCCCGGGGCTCAGGGCGCCGCGGAGCCCGGCGGCGGCGAGCGGCGCTCCCGGGAGCCGGCCGGCACCTTCGCCCCGGGGGCAGGGCGCGGCCCCGGCACGGCCCCGCGGCGGACGCGCTTGGGGCTGCCGAGCATCCTGAGGGCGAGGGAACCGCTCGTCCCGTCTCGCAGAGCCCCTCAGCCCCAGCGCCCGCTGCGCGGGGCTCCCGTGCCCGCCACTTTCATATCCCCTTCCTGCCCCCGCCCCGAGCACGTCGGAGCGGGGCGCAGGGACAGGCACCGCCAGGCGCCTCCTGCCTGCCGGGGGGGACGAGGCGGGACCGGCGGCAGCTCGCCCCCCGCCCTCCCGCTTCGCCGCGGCGCTCCGCCGCCCGGTCCCCCGGGCCGCCCGCACCATGGCCTCGGGGGAGCCGCAGGCCGGGCCGGGCCGTGCCCCCGGGGCAGCTCCTCCCAGCAGAGGCACGGCCGCCGCCTCCGGAGCTCGGCGCGGCAGCGGGCAGGGCGGGCTGGCAGGGCGCAGCTGCCCCGCGGGGGGCTGTCCCCCTTCACACAGCCCTCAGGTACCCGGCCCCGGGCGGTGCGGCCGAGGAGCGCCTGAGGCAACCGGGCCTCTTAGAGGCCGGGCATGAAACCCGTCAGTCGATTATATGCCCCTCATCAAAGCCATAAAAATTAGCGCCTTTTGCCAAAAGAGGGCACCTCCTTCTCCACGGGAGTGGTTACCCACTCCCTTCCCGACGAGGTGTTCCATCTCTGTCCTCCAGCGCATGGTAGTCGAAGGGAAATTGTTTAAGGAAGAGAGAAGCAGCCTCCAGCTGCAATGTGATTTTAAAACGCGTTATTTGCGGTTCAAAGCTCAGAGCTGTCGATTCAAATCTGCTGGAAATATCATTCTCACTGTAAGAAGAAAAAGCTAAATTCAGCAATATCTGGTCGTTTCTACAGTGCTGAATTCTACTTTTAAATAATTGGGGGCTGGAATTCAGCTCTGCTAAACACAATAGTATACAAGCACATTCTTTCCAGGGAAGGACAACCTACATATATTTTTTTAGAAAGCAGGTTAACAAACTATAACATCCACTTCCCCCCCCCCCCCCAATTTTCTAATAATTGTGTTGCAGTCAAAATGCAATGGGAATGAACACTACAATCTTAGAAATCTCCCTTAATGTCAGATAATTGTATAATCTGTGTAAAAGCCATTGATTGCCTCACGGCCTGAGGTATATTTAAGCATTGATCTGAGCGCCAAGGGTGCACTGTGGGCAGTTCCTATGCCAGTGTTTGAGAAAAGATCACCTGTGTGACAACTGATAGAGCAGGAGGCACAGGGAAAAGTGAGTCCTTTTCTTATATTGCACAGTAAGCCAGCAGCCAGGGAGTTGTGTTTAATTTTTTCTTATTTGTTGTTTTTCATAGGTGATATATCATGCTGCAGGTTTTTATTCCCTCATAATTAGTCTTTAGCATAGACTTTAGCACAGAAATTAAAATTAGCAGCAATGCTGGAAGACATTAAATAGCCAAAAATAGGAAGATGAGATGCCAGCCAAACTAACCAGACAGTGCTAAGTGCTAAAGGTACCCACATGCTTCCGTAAAAAAAATGCTGGTGTATCTTTAAAATTTTTGGCAGTTTTAAATCATTAAAAATATTTGCAGCTCCTATTAGAAGAAAAAAACCAAAACCCAACCTATACTTCCCTGCTTTGCCAGTCAGAAGGAAGACAGAACTCAGTGCACACTCAACCAGCAAAGGCAGCAGAACTGAGTGAGCACCCTCTGTCCACACCAGTGGCTCCATCCATCAAATCTGTTCAAGGATGGCTTGGATTAGCACAGTGGGAAAAAGAGCCTTTAGCTGCTTGCTAACATGACATCAATGTGACTGCCCAAAGGAATATGAACAACAATAACACTATTCAAAGAAATATCCAAGGCAAATTATTCAAGGTTATTGAGTTCTTCCTTATTTACATACAATTTTGTTAGTGTGGAATAATCATTTTTGTATTTGTCTTGGGCATAGAGATAGTTATTGAATTAAAGCAGGTAAGATCATCTGGCAGAGTTTTAAAAGACACGTGTACTACTGTCATTGATAATCAAAAATTGCAAATTCCCTTAATTTGTCAACTTTGATCTTGGCAGTGATTTAATCATCTCTTGAGAAGGTGGCTTTTTAAGGATATGCTCCCTATTAAAGGATAGAACAAGAGAAAGCTGAGATTGACTGGAATTTTGAAAAAGAAAATGAGAATATGGCTTATTCTAAAGAATACTTTATTGTAAAACAGGTCACCATTCCCACTACTCTTGGGTAAACAGCTGGAAAAACTGGAGTGTGTGGAGAGCACTAAGAGTGTAATGAGTCATCCATCCGTAACATTTAAGCAAGGTGGAAAAAACCAAAAACTTTTAGTTTCAGATAAAAAGAAAAAAAATATTAAACATATTGCTGACATTTAAATTAACCCCAAATCAAAGTGAACATCTTGTGAGCCTGAGCCCTGAATGCAATGCCATTACTCTCAGTACAGCCACTTGTCATCACTATCAGGAAACATGCTGTTTTCCCTACTCATCATCACGAGCACACGCTCCCTAGTGTCTGTGAGTGCAGGCATTTGGTGACAACAGATTGGTGGTGGTAAGGCTTAGCACAATTGAAAAATAATAGGAAAGAAAAAAAATCAATATATTTACCAATTCTGTTGATAATATTGACTGGCAGCCCTGTAATTAAGAAAGCTAACAGTCACTGAGTACCCCAATAATGATTACTACTAAGTGTCTGGTCAGAGTAGAATTATTATTAATGCATCATGAAATTATTTGGAAGACTCATGCAGAGATTTAGTTACTCTCACTGACAATGTCAGTACTTTTTAATTAGAGGTCTCCTTTAGAAGTGATTAGCTGGTACACTTAACCAAAACTCACTGCTTTTCTTTAGTGAAGCTATGGAATGGCTGCCATGTACTCCTGAGCCAACTTTATGCCTAATGAAATAAACTGACAGAGAAGCAAATAAAGCAGCCCTCCATTACTTTTGATACTGAACAAATATTCTTCAGGAACATAATTCAGGATCATAATAACCTTGACACTAACAAACTGGTTTGAACAACAACAAAAAAAAAAAAAAACCACCAAAAAAAACCCCCCAAAACTTCATGAACATGTGAAACTGGGCATCTAGAGCAGGCTAAATTTCTCAACATCCCTATTGCTTTGCTAGTTGTTTCAAAGATATTCCATCTTTGGGAGACTCCTTTTGAATGTGAAATAGTAAATACTGTGATTCCTTGTGTCCAGTTCTGGGCCCTCAGTTTAGGAAGGACATTGAGATGCTTGAGCGCATCCAGAGGAGGCAACGAGGCTGGTGAGAGGCTTGGAACACAAGCCCTGTGAGGAACAGGTGAGTGAGCTGGGGGTGTTTAGCCTGGAGAAAACAAGCCTCAGAGGTGACCTCATCATCTCTAAAAGTTTCTGAAAGGTGGCTGTAGTCAGGTGGACATTGGTCTCTTTCTCCAGGCAGCAACTGACAGAACCAGAGGACACAGTCTTAAGCTGCGCCAAGGGAAATACAGGTTAGATATTAGAAAAAAAAGTTTTATGGAAAGAGTGATAAAGTTCTAGAATGATCTTCCCAGGGAAGTGGCGGAGTCACCATCCCTGGATGTGTTTAGAAAAAGACTGGATGAGGTGCTCAGTGCCATGATTTAGTTGAGGTGATAAGGCATGATCTTGATGGTCTCTTCCAACCTGGTGATTCTGTGATTTAAGATCATTTAGTCCAAATATTAGCAAAATACTACCAAGTCTACCACTAACCCATATCACTGAACGTTACATCCACACATCTTTTAGTAACTCCAGGGATAGCGACTCCACCACTTCACTGGGCAGTCTGTTCAAATGTCTGACAACCCTCAGTGAAGGATTTTTCCCTAATATCCAATTTAAACAGTCTCTGGTGCAACTTAAGGCTCCTCTTGTCCCCTCAGTTGTTACCTGGGAGAAGAGGCTGATTCCCACCTGGCTACAACCTCCTTGCAGATAACTAGAGAGCAGTAAGATCTCTACTGAGACTCCTTTTCTCCATGCTAAATATTCCTAGCTCCTCCAGTTACTCCTTGGAAAACTTGTGCTCCAGACCTTCCAGCTAGCTCCACTGCCCTTCTCTGGATGTGTTCCAGCCCCTCAATGTCTTTCTTGTCATGAGGGGCCCAAAACTGGACACAGCACTCAAGGTGTGGCTTCACAAGTGCTGAGTGTGGGGGGACAATCACTGCCCTGGTCCTGCTGGCCACACTATTTTTGATACAAGAAATGTGTTCTATTAACGGGATGCTGTTGATTTTATAAAATACCTGGGAGTACAGCTGCAAGTTCCAACCCAATCTGAAATGTACACATTTAGAAGATAAAGCAAAGAGTATATTAACAAGATTGCCTTTATTTTAATTTGAATTTTGCATATAATAAATGTTATTCCAGCTACTGGGGTCAACTGACAGTCTCACAGAACAGTAATTTTAAAATTAATTACAGCTATAAATGCAGAGAGACTCTCTGAGAACAGTTCTTATCTTGAAAACCATATTAGGAACCACAGGAAAGAAAAAGCATATAAAAAGGTATTAAAAAAAGCAGGTTCACTTGTACTATGGTTGCAGAGTCTCCAAGAATCTCTCCCTTATTAACATTTTAATGTTTCAACTACAAATTACCCATTATAGTAGACATTATAGCTTATAGAACAGAAACAAGCAATTTTTACAAGTAGCATGGCAGGCTCAGTGTCAGCAAGTGGAACATCACCGAGTACTGGAAACACTTATGATGGAACCCACATATTTCCATGTGTATCAGGGGCATCAGTGTAAGGAATATTCCAAATCCATGGT